TTAAGCTAAAAAAATAACACAAGGCATTGATATATATATTGACAACTTGTTGTGTAAGTTGGCCATATAGTATAAATATATGATTCACATGGCCAAATTATACAAGTTGCCAACATATGCATCATTTGGCTAACTTGTAAAGTATGTCATCAACATGTATGATATGTGGGTAATTAGTTGGCCAAATTTTTAACCTACCAATCACCTACAAAGACTTAAAAAGTCAAATTGGTGTCTATGAGCTTTTCAATAAGATATTATCAAATTTAATTATTTCTACTTACTTCTATCTAATTTCACTTATCTTTATTAATGTCAATATGTTTATGATACTAAATGATAAAGTAATTGTTTTTATTTTTTTCTATATAATTTCTCCAAAAGTTGTTGATTTTTTTTTATTTTCAATTTCTATTTCAATGATTGGCATATCAAATTAAAGAACCAAAGTTTATTCTAGATTTTTCAAATATCAATTGAGGTATACATCACATTCTACTACTAACAACTATATCACTTTTATTTATAAGAATTAATTGTCTTACATCACCTTGATCTTAATTGATTGATCTTTGCTAAAATAATTGTTTTACATAAATTGAATCCCAAACACCCTAATAATATTGAAAAAAAGAGCATATTTTTAAAGAAATCAAAATATAAATGAACAAATTTATCTAACTTAAACTATTGTAAAAATGAATGTGCATATTATGAAGTTGATAAGGTGGAATAACAAGAATTGTAATATATATCTTCAACACTAATGTATTACGTACATTCACATCATCAAAATCATTTATATTCAAGAAAGAAGGATATTTATTATATCATATCAAATTACTTGAGAATGATGAAATTTCATTACTCACTTTCAAAATTTTCTTTCAAATCTTTTTAAAAAGCAACAAATAAAATCAATATGCATAAGGTATACATCACATATCCACACGTTTATACAAATCAAATTAGCCTTTGATGTATTATAGTTTGGAAGCAAAGATATCAATATTGTAAAATAGTATACTGCTTTTGCATTTGACTAATATTTTACAATAAATAAATATATATATATATATATATATATATATGTGTTGTAAAATAGTATACTGCTTAGTATTTGACTTCTATTTTTCACAATATATATATATATATATATATATATATATGTTTTGGAGAAACAAATCCAAATAAATTCAAGTGGAGCTGGCTATCGATTGGGTCAGTGAAGCACCGAAAATCCTAATTTTGCCGAGAACCTCCAAGGGCGCATGGAAGAACGTGATTCTTGCTTCGAGACCTCACGAAGAATCCGAAGACAGCTTCGACGACCGAAGCATTGGACAACTTGAAGGCTTGCATGATGCTTAAACCCAGAAAGAGAGCTAATCAATTATCTATCGCTACGATCGCAGGATTGTGTGTGGAGCTAGGTGTAGACATTTCTGCGTCACCTGGAAATATAGCTCTCCGACGCCATTTAGCCCGGTTGCAAGTGACTGCGAAACGTCGTAAGCTTCGTGAAACGACTCAATTCCGCAATGCTACAATCTCACTTCGAAATTATGTTTCAAACTCCAAATACTCATAGTCTGCTATACAATTTGCAGTCGTAGAGTGGTTAGATATAACCCAACTCAGAGGTTCGAAGGATTCGAGGTCAATCGATTTGGCCAGTTTGTGAAAGCAACTGCCGCATCGCGCAGATTTCAAAAGAAGTAAATGATTTGTTCACGATTGCTACTAAACCCCGTTGTTTAAATGCAGATATTGACAGGAACTTTCTAGTACCCGAAGATCAACAAGAGTGATTTTGTGGCCCAGCAGGATTTTGCGATTCTACTCGGTGGTCACCATAATTCACTCTGCGTTGGTCCTTCGCCTTTTTGCTGGTTGTGGGCATCAAAGCAAAAGTGCTCATGCGTTGATTGCGTTTCGAATTGGCCTTTCCTGTTTAGGAGCAGCATAAGGTCGGGTCCCGGAGGGCACAATTATCAGCCGCATGTCGGAGTATCGTAGAAGACGTTTTGCGCACATCATTGATTGCTCTCCACGCTTCGACGAACTTGACCAAGGCTCCCCCTCCGAGTCTCGGATTGTACAAACCCTAACAGATCCTAACAGATGTCAGAGACCATCGCGAATTGGAAGCAGGATTGGTGGCCTCAATTATGAGCAAACACCTAATCTCAGTTGTGAAGACTAACACCCCCAATTATCTGCAAACATGTCACCAAGCGTCTGTCGTCGTACATTGTCATCGCCACTATTTCCCAGATCGATGCAGGGGGCCTGTAACTTCGTGCTGGTAAATGAATCAGCGCGGCAGTGATCTCGCTGTAATTAAAGAAATGAATTCTCAACCTACGTGTCCTAGTCAAATCACCGATCCAGCTCTTCCAAGCTTCGGAGAGCCTCACGTTTTCTCGAGATTTCCGATACAGCACTTCCTCCCTCGAAGAAACGGGCTCGTCGAATATGCCGAATGACAAATCGTGCGCTTTCATTTGAACCCAACGCATCGTTTGTTACGTCCACATTTTGAACAACTCTCCCTCGTCGATTTAGCTTTGTGAATTTGTTGAGCAGTTATTGCTGACGAGTGTGGTCAAATTTTGCAATTCTCCGAATTAGCTGCCTCACGTGCCGTGTGAAGTTTTGGGGTGGTTTGGTCCAAAAATTCTATTACACATAGGAAAATATGTGTACATTTTATGAGAGTTTATGTTTCAAAAAATCATCAGATAACATGTTGATTATGAAGATGTTTTACAATTAATTAATTTAAGACTTCAGTATAATTTTAATCTGCAGCAATTAATACAATCCAATCAAATGATGAATTAAAATAAAAGTTTTATAATTTTACCTTTTTTGTCAATATTAGTATTAATATCTTATATACTTCCTCATATAATTTTAGTCACAAATTTTCATACTCTAGTCACAAATTTCAATTATTCTTCATATTATTTGTATATATGTATATAAATATAATTAAATAGACCCATGCTATTACTAAATAGACCCACCTTTGATAAAGAATATGATAATCATGATGAATGTGGTTGGTTTTTATTGGTTGTAGATCCAACAGTGGAGAAATGAATCTAGAGGCCATTTGTTTTTTTCATGATGGTTTGGATTAGTGGGTAAATTTAGTAAAAAGTTGGGTCTATTTAACATTTTCCTATATAAATATATTCATCTCATTCAACGAAAGTATTACATTTACAAAGGTCAATTTAACATTTTCCTATATAAATATATTCATCTCATTCAACCAAAGTATTACATTTACAAAGGTCAATTTAACATTTTCCTATATAAATATATTCATCTCATTCAACCAAAGTATTACATTTACAAAGGTTAATGATGGTTAATTATACATCTGTAATATTATTTATTTTTATTTGAAAGATTACAATAAGAATACTTCAGTAATGAATGCTTCATGGACCTACATATAAAAAGATAAACCTAAAAATAAAATAAAAAAAACAATAACAACTCAACATACTCATTAATTTTTTTGTACATAGTTTTAATATAGGAACTTATGGTTGGAGATATAAAAACATTAACATCTTCATTCATCTTGTTTCTTTCTCTTTTTCTTTTTAACACATGTTATACTCTTTCACACAAAACCTTTTTTTTTTTTTTTTTTTAATTTTTATAAATAGAACTACAGTTTCTGTGCGAGAATTTGCTGGTGCCTTTCACCACAACTTTAATGCCTCAGGTTCTTGAAAATGATATTTTTATGTTTTGATTTTGTCTTACATCTAATTTCATGAATCAAAAATATAATCAAGGTGCTTAATAAGCAGAACTCATCATATGTACCATGAGCACCACATAGCTTTGTTTTGTCAAAACACAAATGCTTGTTTTTGTACTGAATTAAACATTCACAATTAACACCATGTAATTATGATTTCATTTCAATTTTACCTACTTTGATTTCTTGAGTAACATATGATTTTTAATGAATCCAGTGGCTTTCAGAAATGCACAATAAATATATAAAATACATACATACATACATACATACATACAGAGTTATATTTTCGATATATACACTTATTTACTAATCTATTTATCAAAGGCATATATTTGAATCCATCCATCCATCCATCATGACGAAATATCACCAATACCTTGACCTTCAAGGAATATATATATATATATATATTTTTGTGTGTATGTGTGTGTTAGTGTTAGTTTCTGTAATTGGAGGGAGGAGTCCAATACTCGACACCACTCTCCCTCCATAAAAGGGTCTAGAAGAGCCTGAATTCAATGCCCCACCTAATATGGGATGTACACTGTTGCGTGTCTGACACAGCAAAGGGAAAGATAGAAAAATAAAAAGAAATGAAAAGAAAAGAAAAAACGATTATGTGTAGTATCTCTACTATTCTGGCGTACTTTGCTATAAATAAATTAAAACAAGAGTATGGACATCAGAATTGGAGATATACGAATAAGTTCCAATGCCTGGTGGCAAGACAAAGTTTAAAACGTTCTTTCTATCCATGAACTTGTAACATACGTTTTCCACAAAACTAAAATTTCCAGCATCACTTTGTCATAGCTTTAAAAAAATAAAAAAAAAACGAGTTGCTAACAAATAATTGAAGACAAAGAAAATACACACCCTTCTGTGGGTGTTTCAACAAGGCACTTTGTCTCACATTTCTTCTTCGCTTACTTTTTCCAGATACACAAAGAAACCCAGTACAATGTCTTGAAAAAGTGAAAGTCAGTCCAAGTCCCAAAATTCAAACTTTCTGTTACGGATAAATGGGAACGAGCGTATATTATTATACACACATACATACATGTTAACGAACAATACATCACACCGTATTTGTAAAGGAATTGCTCAGCAGTTAACGGAGACGTAGAAAATCGAGCCAAGCTTTCACGGACACGAAGCTGCGGTGCAATTGAGAGGAGAGTTCGAGGGGCGAGAAAGAGTTGAGAGTTGAGAGGTGCGAAGAAGAAGAGCCGAAGAAGACAGGGAGCTCGCGGGGAAGGAACGACGGGCGGCAGATACCCCGACGTCGTGCTTCTTCTGCTCATGCCCGCCACTGCTCCTCCGTCGCGACCGTGAGCTGCTTCCCACTGGGCTATTCTCCTCCGCGTGCTCCCGAGCTCCACGTCGAGATATCTTGCTCGCGAAACGGTTGTGTCCCGAGCCGGATCTTGCGCCTTATTCGAAGTAGTATGGGAGGAGTGCCGGAGAGTAGGGGAGCACAGGGGTGGGGGTAAGGTGGATGCCGAACCGCATTGCCGTGGGGTTAGATTGGTGGATTATTAGTTGAGGGAAAGGGCGTTTTAGCTGTCGATGGCGTCATGGTAATGGCGTAGGTGGATTTTTTGTGCGGATGTGTTTTTTCGGATGGTTTGGGAAGGTTATGGAGGCTATGTCGAGGAGAGGGCGTTGAGGAGCAGTGAGCAAGGGTAGCCGTAATCGGGGAGAGGCGGTGTGCCTGATGCGTGAAGACGGGATGTGAGGGAAAGTAACGGTGGTTTGGTGACACGTCGGAAGGGAGCTGCTGAGAGGGCGGAAAGTGAGTCTGGGAGTAGGAGATGTATGTCATTTGACAAGGTTGAATGCATCCGCTGTGCTGCATCGCGCCTGTTCCCATGGAAAAGGAGGAGATGAAAGGGGAAGGCAGCAATGGGAAGATATTTTGGTCTTCGTCCGAGCCTAGCACTCCTCAGCGATCCTTCAAGGATCGGCAGAATGCAACGTCCTTGAGCTCGGGGAACCATCAGCAAGGGGGGTTGGTTCCTAGCAGCGATCATGTAGGGCACAGCGTTGCGAATTCAGGCCGATCTATGTCGGTCGCGGCACAGTTGCCGCCGCTGTCTAGTGTGAAGAATAATGGAGGGCTTAATCGGGGTGGTGCTCAGCATGTTGAGAGGAAGGTAGATGGTAGCGAGCGTGTACATCATGATCGGTCTGTGTCGGACCTTCCCCCTGGGATGGGCGGGAAAGTTTTTAAGGTTACTCCGGAGGGGGGGATGAAGATGGCAGCCAATTTCTCCGGAGAGCTCTTTCAGGTTGTTGACACTGTGGCGAACGGCACGCCACCAGGGTGCGTGCTGAAAAATGATGTGGCTGGGATTTTGTATAAGTGGGTGAATTACGGGAAGGGATGGAGACCTCGCTGGTTTGCGCTGAAGGAAGGTGTGTTCTCGTACTACAAGGTTCACGGTCCCGACAAAGTCACGTTTAACGATGACAGGTTCAAAAACTTCCGGATCATTGGCGAAGAGGCGCAGAGATTGATGAAGAAGCAGAAGCCTTTGCACTCGCATACGCACAGTACTGATCAAAACCAACACAAAGCGTCAGGGGAGATTCACCTTAAGGTACTCAAACAGCGAGTGAATATTGATTAGTCCCCTCTCTCCTTCTCTTTTCACGCGGATATTACGTACAGGATATCTGTTTGCATGAGTTTATTGCATTACAGAATTCTTACATTGAGGAATTGAACCTAGAAAAAAGTAACTTTCTCGTCTTTGAAGATATCTGCTAAAAATTGGACTATGCAGAATCTTGAAACGTGTGTCAATTTCTAGTTTGACCATTGGTGTACCTTACATTTGTAGTTGGTAAGATGATGTTGATCTCAGTGTGCTACCTGTTGTACGACTGACTTGCGCACTTGGATCATTGTTCTGCCTCAGTTATATGTCAAGACTTACATTAAACAAATTGTTGGTCTTCGCATTACTGCTTGGATTCGGTTTTATTTTATGTCAAAACAGGGTGGTTTCTTTGGCTTATTGTGAATCCTGTAAGCCGTTTTGCGGTCTTTCAAGCCGTCCTGCTGACATGACTGGTGTCTTTGGTCGATCGCATCCAGGTTTCTTCCGTACGCAATAGCCAGTCAGACGACAAGAAGTTTTATATCTACACTGGAACGAAAACGCTGCACCTCCGAGCTGAGACTTGTGCTGACAGGAATGATTGGGTAACGGTTTTGAAAGGGGCCAAAGATATGTTTCCCCGGAACTCGCAGCTTATTGGTTTAGTGGCCCCTTCAGAAGAAATTACGATCTCTACTGATAAGCTGAGGCAAAAGCTTTTGGAGTTTGGATTAGATGAGGATCAGGTGAAAGAATGTGAAGATGTTATGCTGTCGGAATTTTCAGATGTAAAAGAGCAGTTGAAAGTCATGCAACAGCGTCGACTGACCTTACTCGAACGATTGAGGCTGCTGGAGGTAAATAACCGCAGCCTTTACTGGTTTGGAATCAGATTTAAGAAAAGCTTTTTCGGTGGCCTTGCAAATGGCACTGGATAGGTGTAGGTTTCTAACTTTCAGTTAATAGATTAAATTTGTACAGCCTTCCGCACTCAATGCCTGGCGTGATGCAGCCGCATCTGCATCTAGGATGCGTTCTACAGGTTTCAATATTTTAGTGGAATTTAAGCAAGACTGGAACAGCGATCGGTTGATAGAAGCGTCGGGGAATTTCATTTGTAAAATCAAGCCCTATTGATGGTCACGGCTTTTGTCTTGCAGGCTGAGAAAGTGGAGTTGGAGACGACCGTTGTGGATGAAATGCAAAATCAAGCAGGCGGAGGTGGGCTTCATGGGCTCAAGAAGTATTATGGTATTTCTTTATCTCTCTTGTAGAGTTTTTCCCTTCGCTTACTGTTCGTCGACTGCTCTGTCCTCTTTCTTCTTCGTTCTCACTTTTCATTTATTTATTTTTGTAAAGACATCTTTTCCTTAAATAGTATTCTGTTTCTTTCGTAAAGATTGAATCTTATATTCTCTGTTGACACTCTAAGGGTTTGGATAAGAAACATGACAGTCTTTGAAGTTAGTTCAGCAATTTTTGCAATCGATGCTCCCTATCATAGCTGTCCAACAGAGTATGATCGCATGCTCTTTTCGGATCATTCATACTTTTAGCATTCAAGTAGGTCAAGGTTATGTAATATGTGGTCTCATGGACTCATTTCTATTCACTTACATTGTGTACTTGTTTAGTTTATTTTTTCCCCTAAAAATCTACTGGAGCATCTGTTGGCGTGTATCTGATCAGTCAATCGAAACAGTTTGCAAGTAGAAGGATCAAGTCTTTTTAAGTGTAGCTTTGCGCTAATTTGGCCTGCTTTAACTGCGCGTTATTGTATTTTCTGCATCATCTCAACAGGAGGAAGTGACACTGAGTCGGACGAGGACACTGATAGTCACAAGGGTGGTGTTGAAGTAGACTCCGACGATGAAGATGATGTCTTCTTTGAAGCCAGGGACACTCTTAGGAAGTCTGCAAGTTCTCAAATACATCCTCCAGATTCTCCTACACACAGTGAAGTTGATATGGACATAGTGGGTTTTGATTACCCCCAGGTGGCCCGTCGAAAATGCTTACCTGAACCTAAAGAGAAGGAGAAGAGTGTGAGTTTGTGGTCCATGATCAAGGACAACATTGGTAAGGATCTCACGAAGGTCTGCTTACCGGTCTACTTCAATGAGCCTATCTCATCTTTGCAGCGGTGTTTTGAGGATGTAGAGTATTCTTACCTCTTGGACAGGGCAGCGGAATATGGAAAGAGGGTGAGATTCTCTTATTTGATCCATCCCTCATTCAGAGTCAAGTGGTTCCCTATATTTCTTTCGAGTATAGTTAAGTTGCTCTTTACATGGTTTATCTGCTCTACCCCTCTTTCTTCTTCATCAAATCAATTGGATAGCTTTGTGTATGCAGGGAAATAACCTCATGAGGCTTCTATATGTTGGAGCCTTTGCCGTGTCTGGATACGCGTCAACAGAGGGTCGTACTTGTAAACCATTCAACCCCCTGCTTGGAGAGACCTACGAAGCTGATTACCCTGACAAGGGTCTTAAGTTCTTCTCTGAAAAGGTTTGACGCGATTGTCATTTTCTATTGTTTGACAATCTCTTAGGAGTCTGATGGAATTGCCACATTTGTTCGCGCCGAGATGTTTCTGGTACTTGTGCTTCATCTCTAAGGAATTGTAGGTTGGACTGAACTATAATTATCTGAAATCCTCTGTTTTGCGGCGCAGGTGAGCCATCACCCAATGATCGTGGCATGTCACTGCGAGGGTCGAGGATGGAAATTCTGGGGAGACAGCAACTTGAAAAGCAAGTTTTGGGGTCGTTCTATCCAGGTGGACCCTGTTGGCATCCTCACACTCCAATTCGATGATGGTGAAGTTTTTCAATGGACTAAGGTACATGCTTTTTCCCTCGTCCCCATCACCACAATACAATATAATATAGTATCCGGGGTGATATTGAATGCTTAAAGTAGAACCGGATGTTTAGGTTGACTAACAAGCTTAAGATTTGTCAATGACTAGATTTGTTAAGGTTTTGTTATGCTGTTTCCTTTGGATGTTTTTTCACATATACATCTGAGTTTAATGTGCTTGTCATGTCCGAGCATTCATATTCCTTACCTGTGCCGGACGTTTATGGTGATAATATGCAGGTCACTACATCGATATACAACTTGATTTTGGGAAAACTGTATGTGGACCATTATGGTACCATGCGCATACAGGGCAACCGTGAGCTCTCCATAAAATTGAAGTTCAAGGAACAATCAATAATTGATCGCAACCCTCATCAGGTTTTGTTTCATTTTAACTTAGCATACCACACGAATCATATTTTATCATTGAAGTGTTTTGTGCATGATTTCATTGTAAAGGTATCTTGCCGTTGACATCTGGAGGTAGCCAAACCTGCCATCTTTGAGTTTCAATCTTGCTTAGTCTGTCTTGGTGAATTTGATGTTCGCAGGTTCAAGGATTTGTGCATGATAAGGGTGGAGCGAAGGTTGCTACATTGTTTGGCAAGTGGGACGAGTCTATGTATTATGTAATGGGAGATATCTCTGAGAAGCCCAAGGGCTTTGATCCTACGACTGAGGCTGTTTTGTTGTGGCGTCGCGCTGTTCCACCAGAAAAAATGACTCGTTATGGTCTGACAGCTTTTTCTATGACTTTGAATGAGATCACGCCTGGGCTTCGGGTAAGCACCTGAAATGTTGGGGCATATATATCGTGGGATTTCTTATGGTTTTAAACAGACATTTGATTAGTAGGCATCAGACTTCCGCAGTTTATTTCCGAGGTTGAGTAAAATGACAAATTGTCAGTTTCCGTGTACTTATGGATGGTCTTTGTTGTGAAGGAAAAGTTGCCACCTACAGATTCAAGGTTGAGACCCGATCAGAAACATTTAGAGAATGGTGAATTTGACGCTGCCAACTCAGAGAAGTTGCGGCTTGAGCAAAAGCAGCGACGCGTGAGTCTTGATTTCTACTTTGATTTTGTATATGTTGCTATTACTCTGGCGTTTGGCGTGAAAACTTAGTGGTGTATTTGGACACGGCATGCTTATTCACAGTAGAAGTAAGTCTCTCTTATCGGCATACTGGTATTTGCAAGGGTTAATTTGAAAACTGATTTGAGAGGTTGGGTGTAATAGGCACGTATCCTTCAAGAGAAAGGTTGGCAACCACGTTGGTTTCGGAAAGGGAAGGGGAAAGACACTTATGAATACGTTGGAGGCTACTGGGAAGCACGGGAGAAAGGAAGATGGGATGGCTGCCCAGATATTTTTGGTGTTGATCCCCAAGATGAGATTATTCTTACTGATTGAAGATAAGGAGCAGAAGTGGGATGATGAGTCGCAGCCGCCCACCTTGGGAAATTCAGCTTTGTAATATTATCGTCACAACCTCTTTTGCTTCCGGACCTCTGATGAGGATTTGAGTGTAATGTGTTGGGACTGCGTGGCCGTTTATGTAGGGCTTGGGTTTTTACACGGGTCAAGTTTTTTTTTCCCGCCAGGATCAGGATAGACCGTGAGCAATGTCACAGAATATCAGAATCAATCTTAGAATAGGTGGGATCTTTGTTTTCAATCTCAAATGAGATATCATTCAGCCTCAACCCCGCTGCTACGGCTCACTGAGTACTTTTGTGTCTAGGATTCATAACCTAGTTATTGTTGACCTCTCATTTTTTAATACCTACTTAGCTCCGTCGTGGTTCCCAGGCCATTTCTACAGATCCGCAATAAACTAGAAATCATGTTTCTTGCCCTCCGTTTATTCATCCACATGTTTTTTGTAACATGTGTAGATCAAGGATCAAGTAGACTGAACAGGAATATAGCACGTACGTGCTATATTCCTGTTCAGTCTACTTTTAAGTCGAAATCTCTATAGCTATGTTGGTCTTGTCACAAATTCTTGCATTCGGAATTAGCTTCAGAGATGTTCAGGCGATCCGCAGCAAATTGATTAATACAACTAAAAGATTTGGTGAATGGGATTCAAGTCAGGGTATCAGGGTTGGGCTTAGATTGTCGAGCCATTTTGTTTGAGGCTTGTTGACGTTTCCCGCCAATCCTTAGCTTGTACGGAATTTAACGATCTGTTGCTGGATTGGTGTTCAGTCGTTGAGTTTCATCACTCCGAAGCGCTTATGGTCTCGGCCTAGACATGGTGATACCCGGCCTACTGTCGTCGCTTCCGTCTTCTCTCCCTTGCAAGTGTGATTTATTAACACTACCGCTTGTCGTCAAGCAAATATAGGAAAGTTCCCCAGCTGAAACGGTTAAGACTGTTCACTGCTGGTGCACTAAATATCCTCCCGTGCATGTTTCTCACATATCATTTTACATAACTTTTCAACTTCTCAATATCCTAATAAGAGTTGTAAAGTGGACAACCCATTTCCCATAAGCATTTATATCCAATAGGTGTATAAATGGGGAAATAAAATGCCTCTTTACAGAGAAATAAAAATCAGGAGGGTTCTAAAAGTTTTTACACAATTTGGTCCAAAAATGAAATTTATATAAATATTTTAGTTGAAGATTCTCTTTGATCCATATTAGACATATATGCCTACCTAATTTTGACCGGTGGTGGGTTACAAAACTGACAATCCAACTTTTACAAAACCGTGATATGTAGCACCTGTTAATGCTATCAAGAGAAGTGTGGCATCTAATTATACTATTACTCCACTCCAACCAATCAACAACTACCACCTATTGATAGTTCACGCAAATCCATTCCAAGTACAATGAATTTTATTTATTGCTCATAATTTAATATAATTTTAACTAGCCCACGACCTATTTCAAATCAATAGAAATGAATTTTTTTTGATTGATATCAAAACTAGTCACTAGACTAACGGAAATGATACACCTTGTATGTTGGAAACAGGGAGGGTGGTCAACAATGGATTGGCTACTTTAGTTGTTGAGATTTGAGCACATTCTTGTTGGCTCCCACTTGAGAGCATATCTCAAATATTATAAAGCAAAGCTTCCAAAACTATATTGAATTTTTATATTCCTTTCCATAATTTTATATTCTTTTTGAATTGTGCTTTTGAAATGAGCCTTCCTAATAGTATGGATTAGAGGCATGTAATGGATTGATATTTAGACAATCAAAAGCTTTATTCAAATCCTTTTTTTTTTTTTTTTTTTTTTTTTTTATTTATATTTTGGATATAAAATATGCATTAATATAAGATCCTTTGTAGAACTCATTAAACAATTTCACACAAATTGTTATACAAATGTAATTACAAATTTAGTTCAAAACTAATATTAGAATGATTCAAAGTTTACAAGTAGTTTAGACTTTTGGATCAAGTAACAATGGCTCTTTGAAATCTATATTAATCTTATTTTAGAATTTTTATAAACTCACTTCTTGCATGTCACTGTAAATTATAATTTATTGATCAATATATCACTATGCAATTCATAATATTTAATTATTAATAGCTTTATGCAATTAGATAGAGGTGCATGTAAAAATCAAAGTAGAGATTTAAATATAACTAAATTAGTGATATTTAGAGGCTCAAATAAGGAATTAGAATATTAGTTTAAATAATCATAAGAATGGCTTATTAAAAAAATATCATTTATTATATAATAACAAAATGATGCAAAAGGTTTGGAAACAACATGCAACTAGTTTTTTTTTAAGACAATTTGGAAAGTGACAATTATATAGTGACAATTATATAGTATCAATTATAAAAGGTAATAGACATAATTTTGACCTTTTGAATAAAATACCTATACCAATCATATAAATTAGATTCTTAAAGAGCTTTAGAGGTCTATTATTATACAACTCAATTTTTACTCTCCAAATTAATGATAATATTATTAAATAAGAAATCAAATATTTAGAATTATTTGTAATTGTAGTTAATCTCAATCAACATAGAAAGACATTCCAAGATGTACAATTACAACAACTTTGGAAGCATTAGTCAATAACATAAATGAGTTTATACATGTAAAAGTTGAAATTAAAAATCTAAAAGTTATCCAATAAATAAAAAAATGAATACATTTTGAGCAACATACACTAGTGTATGCAAAAATAATTTCAAACAAAGAAGAGCTAAAACAAAGACAACCCTATGGCTTTTACAAGACATATCTTTCTAAATTAAAAAAATAAAGATAGAATAATAATACAAGTTTAGTTTATTACTTAGAACCACAATTTTAGCAAGATCTTTTATAGAACGAATAAACTCTAATTATACATAATAATTATAGGTAGAAAATGATAGTAGTGCATAAGACACAAGGATTGCATCTACCAAAGGTTATGGCTCAATAAAAACATATTTTAGCTTGTTGATGCATCAAGGAAGGATTGCTCTTTGATAGATCAAATTATTTTTTCTCAAAAAAATAGATAATATACACATTTAATAGATCCACTTGGTTGCCACATGCATAATATATCTCAACTAAGAAACTAATTAAAAAATAATATCAATCTACATTACCAACTCCACAATGCTTAAATTAGTCACAACAACATCTAATAGAAACAACTATGTATCTAAAAACTATAGAAAATAATGAAAACAATGAAAAAATACTATACATGTAGCAATATAAAAATATAAAGATACAAAACATATTAATGACATATCAAATCCCACAATTTTAAACCATTATGCAAGTTGTACTATGAACAGGAAACAAATCAGACATATTATTATATCTTGTCTATCACATTACAGAAGAGTGTTGGCAAATTTGAGATTAGCCACACTAAAATTACATGCTCATGAGAACAAAGTTCATTGAAGCACTACCCAGTCTGTCCACATTCAGGTCTTGTGTAGGTCGTAAGAGGCACTTTGCCAGCAACACAACTGTCGTTAGACAAACAATCCTTGTATGTGTTACTTTGCTTCTACAACTTCCCTCCTTTCTACAACTAAATTGGCGCTGGACTTGATCTGTCCACCAAAGTATATGAACTGTCCATGCTTAGGGTGCCAAATATTGATTATTTTTATCAGAGTAACACGCCTTTGACAATCAATCCAGACTTTGATAAGGTTGTGAAACATTCACACTTTTCCAGAAGGGAGGGTATATAGTGTTTGAGTTATTCCGGCAGCTGCTCAGTAACCCACTTCAAACGTGACAGTCGAACTTGTGGATTAGTCTGGTAAGTTTAGTCGTGGCTGGAGGCTGGTGATCAGTTGTTGCCGTGTTGTGAGATCAATCGGAGCTGGGGTGTCAATCTGCAGAAGGGGATGTCTACAAAGACATCCCAGAGGGGAAGAATGGTCGATGCTGCTACCAAACGTGGAGCGGCATCCAACATGAGTTCTCGGAACAGATGGAGCAGTTATGTCGACTGCGACGACGACGTTGAGGATGATAACGGGGACGCTGATGGGGTCCAAAGAATCCAACAACAAAACCATCTCATCAAGGAAGTTGACATTCTATAGAATTAATTGCCTTGCAAGTAATCCAAACTGCCTATTCACGACTTTGCCCCTGAAATATGAGTCTAGTCTCTTCATAAATGGTGTTTGTACAGTATTGAATGTATTTTTCGGCTCGTTCAGCAGTTACGGGACAACCAGTTCTTCGGGTTTCCAGCTTTGTGCTCATTCAACTTCTATTTCTATGTATTTTTAGTGTTGAATCAAGAATATTATCCTAGGTTCGATCAGTGGCAGTCCAGCTTGGGTTGTTGACAAAAGTAGATTTATGGATACACGAGTATACTTTCAGCAATGAAGAGCCTTGATGTTATGCTCCTTGACCCTTCAGGCTTCACCGCAAGCTCCGTTGTGTTAAAGGACCAGTTTAGACATGAATATTGTGTACAAGAATGAAGAGGATGATCTGCTTCGACATCTGTCAATCAAATGAAATTATTGCGTCGTGTTTGTTGAATTTTGATGTAGCTGAGCATTCATCTCTGCATCTATAAACTTACGATTTACTCTACTGTCAATATCTTGACCAGGAGTACATTTCGAGTCTTTTCAACTCTCTGTGCTGAGGGTTATTTAATTAGATCTGAGTGAATTGGGTTGCGCGTATTTGTAAGTCATAATTGGGGTAAAATTCACTGCTCATATTGCTGGTTGGATGAAAGTGATTTCCAACAGCAAAAATAGATGCGCCGCTTTCTTTGCTCAACCCTCCACTAGTCCAACAGTGCATGGCACTTATCTTCCTCGTGACACATCTTATCAACGAGTGACGGAAGATATTGTAACTAATCTGCTGGGCTGTCACTTCAAAATATGTGAGATATGCCTACTAGGATGGCAAGGTGACAGTCTGATGGCTTGTGGATCTTGCGACGTCTTGCAAACGAAAAATGAACGAACTCTTCTATCTAAACCTCAAGATTTCAACATGGGGGAACTTGCAGAATATGTTTCCGGGAGATCAGCATTATTGGTTAGTGCTATTTGTCAAACTCGTGTTGACGAATCCTAATGTGGTCAAAGTCGTATTTCTTCTTAATGATAGTTTCGAGTGCCAGCTGGCAGAACAGTTTCGTAGGCATCTACTAAGTACACCTAAATATTATCACGAACTTGTTGCATACATCTGAGCTCTCAAGTCACTGCATTTTTAGGCAATACGTCCAAAAATCCGTCGTGGAAAAGTAACCTCTCACATGCACTGTGATTAGAATATGTAATGTAACTAATCAAAACATTCCCCATGTAGGTAAAGCAATGGCTTACAATATGAAATTCAAGATCAACATGCAATCCAAAAGCTCATGAATCAGCGTGCCGGCCAAAGGGTTACATCCCGGCTACAATTCATTACATTTCCCAGAGTTTGCGTTAAAGCTTCACACAGTGCAAGGCATATCAATAAATTGGAGCACGATCTCCTGATCATAGGGGATCGTGCACAGCCACCATAAACAACCTAAACAACCTAAGAATGAATAAGAGGGCAATAATTCAAACAAACCACTTTTCAAAGGATTTGCACTTACCACATATAATGGATAGATTGTGGTTGGAAAAGCATTATACTAACTAATTCCACATAAAATTTCCGACCTTACTACCATTCATTTCCAAAACACCAGATGAACCACCGAAACGTTGACACCAACAAACAAGGCTGAGTAATTAACACTTTGTAAAACTACTAATTAAATAAAGTCGATAGGTGAATATGAGAAAAAATTCCATTGCCTTAAGGGTTCTCACGAGAAGTGTTGCAAAATTGCCATCTCAACTCATCCATGATCGATACTTCGAAATGGAAAAGTACGTTCTCATCATTATATTTCATCAGAAATAATAAAACTAGAACACAACATAACTTTCCAGCTCCACTGTCCACAATCCGAACCCGATCGATACAGAAACCAGCCCAACGCTTTATCTACTCGAGATTTCAAATGGGGAAAAAGGATGGACAGTGCAAGTGCAACACCCTACTCTATAATGGCACCTTGGGCACCACCTCCAAAGCCTCCCCCTCCTCCACGACCAAATCCACCTCGTCCGCCCCTAAATTCAGGTCGGTACTCTCCGGGAGCTCCACCCTTGTCTCCACCAAAGCCACTGTCTCCACGGTCAGCGCTTCTGTAACCTTCCCTATCACCGAATCGTGGCCTGTCTCCATCTCTGGGAGGACCGCGAGGTCTGTCGCCACCAGCACCTCCCATCGGCCTGCTTGGAGGACGAGCAGACTTCTTCAAAGTAGCAGGGACAATCTCGGAGGGGAGGTTGAGGTATGTCCGGAGATGCTCGATGCCGTCATTGGTCAAGTACCTACAAGACACTAATGTGAGATCATAGTGTTTGGCAGGGCGAACAACCTAATTCGATAACTTAGGTCAGTTTGAGGAAAACCGGATGAGGAATGCAATGTGATCATGTAACTATCACCTAAATTATGATGGATCGCAACTTCATGTTGACAAATTCACATGTAATTCAAAGAGAAAACAGCAAGGTGAAGCCCGGATCATATCCTAACAGAGCCGAAATGCATAAATAGAAAGACCTATCCATCTGACATGCATGGACGATCAATTGACCACATGTACTCATCTAATGCTAAATATTAAAAGTTCACACCCGTGTACAACAAGGCATACTGCAGAAAAATCTAAAAGATCTCAAGCACCCAGCTATCACTGCCAATATACCTGAATCAATATTTAGGGTTTGAGTCTAAATGCTACCGAATTTCGACAAATTACAACATGGCAACTGCACGCCTTCTAAAGCCCAGAAGCTTAAGCCCTAAACCTTCTGCTTCAATATACCTTCGCTGCCTAACCGAATATTTAACAGACACGATTTCGGCAGGAAGTACAAATCAAAAAAAATCCCCCACCACCACCACGAGAAGAAGAAAAAGAAGGAGAAGGAGAAGAAGAAGAAAGATACCTACGATTTCCAGAACAAGGAAGGACATGCCAAACTGAGCATAAAGTACGAACATAGCTTACCAGTAATAGTGGCGCCAGGCGAAGTTCTCCTTGACGTACTCCTTGGACTTGAAGCTCTGCATGAGCTTGATGACCTGAAGGTTGGGCACATCAATCTCGGGATGCTTCGGGGCGTTGTAATCCTTCTTGGCGTACAAGACCCCTTCCTTGAAAAGGTACTTGTAGACCTCCACCCGGTTCTTCTTCGGAATCAGCATGCTTGCTCCTGTTCTGGCTTCGCTCGCGCTGTGGCGAGGACGACGGAGCTTCGAAGCTGTGGCGACGACGGAGGTGCGAGTTAGGAAAAAGAAACCCTAAATTGATTCGCAGTGTACCTAAAGGACTCGCTCCGATTGAGGTCCGCCTGGAGATACCAATTTTTATACAGTATGAGAACCGGGCTTTGGTTCGGGACGGTGCATCAATCGGTTCGCTCCAGGAGTGTGCTCTGTTTTGGTATCAACTCACTAATTTATAAATTTATAAATTATAATACTTTTAACAAAAAATTAGTTTTTTCATATCACATTGTGTTCCATAATCAACCCACATCTGGAAGAGTTTTTCAGCATGCCACATTTAAAGTTACTTTTATGTTAATGTTATTTCTTAGAATGTTATATGTTTACAAGCTTACTCTTAGTGTACAAGGAAAAAAAATAAAAAATATAAAAAAATAAATATATACATGCATACATATATTAGCATAATTATTTATAAAAAACTCACATAAATCAAATAAAACAAGTATTTGATCATCTACAGTTTGCATGACCATGGTCAAGTTTGATTTTATCATGTTACTTCAGATTTTTATCTTTAATATACATATTTACTCCAACAATTACCTATATGATAAGATAGAAGTAGGTAAAAGTAAATTAATTTTATAATATCTTTTAGAAAAACTTCTTAGAAGCTTTATAGATGCAATTTTGACTTTACATGTATTTGTAGGTTAAAAACTTAGTTAATAAGTTAGCCATAAATCACACATATTAATAGCTTGTGGAACAAGCTAACTATGTAGCACACATTTAAAAAAAATTCCTTGCAAGGTAAGACATGTATCTTAAAATTCAAACACATGTCAGAGGTCCTATAGAACAAAACTATGTAGCTTTTAGTTAAATAGTATATATAGAGACACAAGTGAAGCCTTCTTTTGCAATGAATATTTATTCTTCTTCAATTATACAAAAATATTTTAAGGTTCTTTTTGTTTTGATTCATGTCCTTGATAGTTTGACAAGAGTGTTAATTCATTGTTTTGATTTTGTTTTAAAAGCGAGTAGATTATTCTACATTTATTGTTATATTTTGAAGATTGCAGACTACTTGTAAAGGATATGAATCTTGAAGAAAGAAAATCTTCAATACAATCTTGTATCACTAAAAAAAAATAGAAAGTCACTCAAAGATCTTATAATATTGAACTAGAATGGCTATTGCCAAAAACAAGAAGACTAAAAAGTCTTGAAATAAGACTAAGAACTAAAAAGGTGTTGACAAGAGTGAAGAAGGCTTCATTCTTGCCTCCATATATGCTCTTAACTAAAAGCTATGTAGCAATATCTTATAGGACCTCTAGAATGTGTTAACTTTGCATTAAACGTATCTAAGCTTGCAAGGTAAGATTTCTACATGTGTGCCACATAGTTAGCTTATTTTGCAAGTTGTCAAGTCATGGTTAACTTTTTGACCAAGTTTCTAACCTACTAATCAATTATAAACACATGTAAAGTCAAAGCACCCTCTATGAAGCTTCTAGGAAGCTTTTTTAGAAGATCTTATGAAATTAAGTTACTTTTATTTATTTTTACCTAATCACATAGGTATTTATTAGAATGCCTATATATATCAATGACATTATTTTCTCTTTTAGAGACAAGTTCCAAAAAGAGCAGTCTTCACATATTGAAGAAATCCAAGATGCGAAGAATTATTTTTGCCACATACTCTGTTTTTTGTTCTCTTCAAAGATAGTTGATAGATCCTCTTAATCATTGATAGTATCTTATACCAGAGCAAAAAGACCATCTTGTTATTTGATCGTTGTTGAGGTCTTTGTAAATTTTTTCAAATAAAATATTTGGAATATCGTTAGAAGATTTTCTTACCTCTAATAAAATCTCCAAACATCGGGACTCTCTTCCAAGGTCGTAATATCAAACACGTTGTATCTCTTCATCTATTCAAGAAAAGACATGTTATTCTTGAGGATATTCATCTTGATTTCATTGTCTTGAAGGTTGTAACAATTATAATAGCTTATCTGATAAGTTCGCAAATAAAAGCTCTTGAGTTGAATCTGCTAGTTATTGGTTATAGCAAAGATTTACTATTCTTTATCTTAGTTTTAATGGATGTTGTTAATAAAAAGCTTCAACTTTCTTTTCTATATTTGTAAGATTCTTTGCTGACTTCCATGTGCATTCACTAATATCATATCCATGCCAATGAACAAGATATTCCAACCTATTTTGGCACTGCCTTGAATCTAAGATTTCTTCTACCTTAAACTCTTGATTATTATCCACTTCTATAGGGAGAGGTGGAATTTATCTTCTTCTTAAGATATTCATTGTCTTATATGCTTCAAAAAGGGACATGTGAAATACATGATGGATTTTTATGGACTCCGCTAGATATAATAAAAAAGTAACAAGATTGACTTATTTACTAATAAGAAAAGGTCTAAGCCTATGATAGTCCATCTTGTCACAAAGACAAGTAGTCTTGATATTGCTACAAAATAATTATACCTTGTCACCTATCTTGAATTATAGTTGTTCCTTACAATAAACATCTATATTAATTTTTTGTGATTCTTGAGCTTCCTTTAAGTACGCCTTTATTGTTGCATGTAGCTGTGATAAACGATTTGCTAAATCTTTTGTTGCATGATTATCAACTTTTGAAAAGTCAAAAGTATCAAGTTAAAGATAATAACCATAATTGATAAAAAAAGTGTTTGTTGAATGGATGAATGTGCCAAATTATTGCACGTAAACTTTGCTTATGGTAAAAGAGTTGTCCAATCATCTTGATGATAGTTGATGGTATACCTCAAGTATTACTCCAAAACTTGATTCATCTATTTTGTTTGCCTATTAGTTTGAGGATGAAAAGTCAAAGAGAGTTTTATATTCACCTTTAAAATTTTAATTAGGATTTTTCAAAATCTTGATATAAATTAAGTTTCTCTATCTATTATAATATCTTTAGGTAATTTGTGATAGTAATAGTTGTTGTTAAGAAATAGTTTAGCCATTCTTTTACTTGTGATAGATTTTGTATATGGTAAAAAATGTGCCATCTTGGTAAAATGATCTATTACCACAAATATAGAATCATATGAACCTTAGATTAAAATAATAAAATAATAAAAATAAAATAATAATAAAATCCATAAAAATGAAAGACCATAGTTGTTTTAGAATAGGTAATGGTTGAAGAAGTCCATAAGGTCAATAGAAAGGAGTTTTGAATCTTGAACAAATATCACATAATTGTACAAAGTCTTTGATTACCTTTTTCATTTGAGGCTACTAAAAATCTCTCGATATTAAATCCAAAGTCTTATTGTATCTAAAATGTCTAATTGTTGAAAAGACATGATGAGTTTGAAGAACATGTAATTGTACTCCACCTTTTGGAATATATGATTATCTCTCAAAATAGAGTAGATTGTTCTTGAAATCAATCTTCAAAGTATTATGAGACTTAGAAGAATTATTCTTGATATCATAAACAAGGAGATCAAAGGACATACTTGATTGAATTTGCTTGACAAATTTTGAATCAATCATCAATGTTGATTTTGTTGCTTAAAGGTGAAAATGTTCTAGCTTTAAGAGAATTATTTTTTATTAATCAAAAGATTTAACTACTTCTTTTGGTGTAAGATAAGAACATCTAGAAAGTACATCCAATAAATCTTATTGTTATTTGGGCCAATAAGTATTCTTAAAATCAAATCTTGATAAAGACATGTTCCAACGAGTAAGGCAATAATTTAAAACATCTACTAAGATAAAATATTTGAATTTCTTATGATCTGTATATATAATGACTAAACTCAAGGTGCCTTCTAAATAATGATGTCATTCTTAAAATGAATCCATGATTGTAAGGAGCTCTTTGTTATGGATATCATAATTAATCTTGGTTGCTGAAATTTTTTTGGAATGGAAAGCTATTAGATGGGGTTTATCATTTGCTTCCATTTGTGATAATACTACACTCAAGGCAAAGTATAACATGGTATAGATAAGATATTTGTATTATTAATATATAGACATAGATAGTTAAACCCTTATTTGAAAAATTATGGAAGTTTTTAGAATTGAGATTAAGTTAATGGATTAGGTAGGATCTACCATAGAATATTCTAAAAAGAGTTTAAAGTAATTATTTAGGTAGGGTCTACTATGGAACTTTCTAGAAGGAGTTTAAGGTGATTATTTAAGTGGAGTCTATTATCTTAGAACATTCTAGAAAGTCCACGATAGTAGAATAAAGTATAAGTAGGATTGGCTAGGATCTTTTGTGGTATTTCGTCAAGTATGGCTTTGGATCTTTTTTCTTAATACAATTGGATTTTATATTTTTATATTTTGTTCTATTTTATTCTAATTCCAGTTGCTTAATTTTATCTTCTATGTTCCATTTTGTTTAGATTTATTCAGTTTTGTTCTAGTACACTTTGTCCTAACTTATGATGAAGTTCTATATTGCTATGGATTAGAAAGGTCTTTGATACTTGAGATAGATCAATCTTATTTCATAAAGTTTGGTGAAGTTGTTTCCATAAAAAATACCTAAAAAAATTCAATATAATATAAAATTAATAAAAAAATAAACTCATTTTTTAAAGCATCAAATGATGCTTCCGCTTCTTTACTCTACTCAAGTTTACCTTTACGAGTCAAATGTATAAGTGTAGCTATAATTTGAAAAAAATTCTTGATGGAGGTTCAATAATAATTGGCAAAGCTTAAAAAGCATTGCACATCCTTTATTGTTTTTGGAATCTTCCAATCTATGATAGTCTAGACCTTCTTCGGATCCATCATTAATCCTTCATTGAAAATGATGTATCTGAGGAAGCCAACTTGAGTAGTATAGAATACACACTTTTTTACATTTGTATATAATTCCACATCTCTAAGTTTTTGTAATACATAATAGACATGAATTCCATGCTCTTATATATTCTTAAAGTAGATTAAGATGTCGCTCAAATAACAAAAGACAAAATCATCAAGAAACTCACAAAAGACATCATTCATTAGATGTTGAAAAGCAGCTGGTGCATTTG